TTAAGCGCGTCGGCCGGGGGTGTTCGTATACGCGCGCTCAATCTCCTCGAGGACAAATCGCCCGCTTAACCCTTTTTTCGCGAGTTTAGCTCCAAACGGATTTCCTTCTTTTTTTTTGTCTCCCTCAACACACGCAGAGAGAGGGAGAGGAGAAAAAGCACCTCGGAATAATGAAAATCTTTTTAGCGCTTGTGCCCGAGGTGGAAATTGAGCCGGTGGCGAGACTCGGTGAGCTAATTAGAGAGCGACCGTGTCGACGACTGATTAGAGCTGCGAGGGGACAAAAAAAAGTTACGGGGACTGAGCAATGACTGTATAAACCCAGACAATGCCATTTTGCATTACTTTTATCGACTCGACTGATTGTCATTGCCACCGAAGGAAACTCTCTATTTTGCAATGGTGTACGTATGGAGATGATTTTTTTTATCTCTCGTTTAAACGTTGCCTCCAAAGGTAAACGTATTTTAGCTAAAATTTACATTTCACCGAGTACACGTTTGTCCTTGAAGTATTCATCAAGAGCATAGTCGAGCGGTAATAATATATACCCAGCAATAAAACTTGTAATGAGAAAGCTGGAACATTTAAAGGCAGGCAAGGAGAGAGAGAGAGAGAGAGAGCTGAGTACGGGGAGGGGGAGGAGAAAGGGCGTCTTGTAAATTTCCGCCTCGAGGAATAATGATAATAATCATCGTCGTAATATCGTTACAATGCTTTGGAGGGAAGGATTTCGTGTCTATGAGTTCGGGCAAGACTGATGAGCCTGTGCGTACGTATTATAATGAAACGACGCGGGAACTATCCGGCTCTAAGATGCTGTAGTTACTCGAGTGAAATTAATAGTCGTGAAATTATAATTTTGCACGATTTATAATTTAAGTTCAACTACGCTTACCCCGGCCTGACGACTCTTTGTCATCTTATCGTTTAGAATTACAATATGCACTGTGATAATTTAAGACAAATATTTAAGGTTCTAAAATTTTGCGTAAAAATCTGTTTGGTATGGCCTTTCATGAACAGGGTATTTCAATGGTGTGGCATATTTTTACACGCGATGCGATTACAATGTTTGTCACGTACTTGAGTATGGCATGTGATACTCTTGAAAAAATGTTCAGCTCCTATAGTTTGAAAGAAAAGATCCCACAAGGAAAGGTTGAAAAATATCAAACGCAAAAGCGTCGGTGTAAAGATTCGCAAGAAACGCGTCCAACGTAGTATATGCCACGTCTAAAGTTACATAACGACGACAAACGGAGAAATGAATAGTATACGTGCACGATAAATTTCTCCCTGCCCAAGGTGGCTTGCAAACAATATTTTTCCCGTAAACAAGCAGCTCAAAGCGTAAATAAAGCCTTGCAATAATTTTCAAACACCGGCGATAAAAGTAATAAAACAACGCGTAATGTTATCTACAAGGCGTACCTATGCGCGTATAACGCGTGACCCGAAAACTCCCCGCGTATATTACTCCCCCTCGCCGTCCCCGCCACCTTTTCTCCCTCGATAAGGCAAGCCTGTGGCGCACATAGATCTTATTGTTACCATTATTATTTACCGTCTCGAGGCTTCGGCACATTGTAATCGATGCACTTGGATTTTTACCTTTTGTGAATGTATACCTGTGAGCACAGGCGGGCACTTTATCGGGCGCATTCATCATTTCGATGTTTCCCCAATGCTTGGCAGCTGCGTGCCCTCGTACAGCCTTTATTGGCGCCATGAAAGCTTGCAAGTGCCCGAAGAAAGGGCGCATTTTTCTTAGGAAAAACGGAGCTGTGTCTTCTCGCACGTTATAAAATTAATTTTAGAAAATCTCGAAATGAACCTTTTGTCTTTTCTATTAAAGTGACCTTAAAAAAAAAAAAAAATCTGATACTACCTAAATGGTATTCGCCTTTCAATCATCTCTAAGGCCTACCATAAGAAGACAGTGATTTTAATATAGTTACGAGGTCAAGGGGTTCAAGTTTAAATCTATAACTACGTCGAGCAGACTCGTATAAGATCGGCCAAAAATCTTTTACGAAAAAAAAAAAAAAAAAAAAAATCAATCGCTAAAGGATTGCATGAGTTATTTTGAATGAGAAAAAAAAAGGATGGATAACTTTACATATCGTAAAATAAATTGCCTAGCTCTTGTCATCGCTGCGTCGCCTCAGTTAAGATTTGAATCACGCGTTTTCTCCGAGGTGATGTGTGTGGAATTTTTTTTTGTCGCTCCTCGGGGTATCTCACGTTTTAGCAATTCAGGATAAGCACTCGGCTCCTTTCAGAGTCTCAACTTCCCTCCGAAATAAGCGAATACACCCAGCCATTACTGTGTCTAGCTCTTTTACTTCTTCTGTCTTTCTATTTGATACATGTACGACGAAAAAAAAAAAAAAAAAAAAAAAAAAAAAAAAAAAAAAAAAAAAAAAAAAAAAA